CACACATACACAAATACATACATGCACACACAAACAATATATGAAAACACACAAGACTATGGAACCGTTAGTGCCGCATAACCAGGCTACGCACATGTGGGTGAAATCCACGGTCATTGACGCAATAATGGCAATGTAGCTGGATTTTGACCGCGCGGGCTAATGAAATTAAATTTTGAAGGCATCGGATCGAGAGGGGAAGGAGTGGCCCATCCTCTTTCTCCTTCTCCTTTCTCCCCTCCGCTCCACCTCTCATCTCCCCAAAAACAGTGTCTATCAGGGCCCTGTAAACAGGCCCTGGCTCAGTTCAGGGACACACGAGCATGTCCGGAAAGCACTGCTCCCGCCTCGGAGCGTCAGAGCACGACGTCGTGAACTTTGGAGCTGCGCTGGAGGAGCATGCCAGCTGGGGATCTCAGATCGCATCGCCTGTTTGAGCCAATCGTGGCGTCGTTGCGTGAACTAGCAGAGTAGGCTTGCTAGCTGTGTACGGCACAACGGCACGCAAAAATTCAGTCTTTTCAAGGTCTCAGGCTGTAGGCAGCGGGAAAGCTTAGCAAGCGCACCGCCGATCATCCGATCAGGGCCCTATCAGCTGATTATCCTTGCTGGAGGCTCAGGTCCTGGCACGATTTCTCTATGCTTCAGGCTGCTCTGGCCCCCACTCATAGACCGCCTGCATCAGCTTGATCAAAGACTCGGCATCGATGGCCTCTTTCCGGTCTTTTTTGTGGCGGAAGCCCGTCTGGGCATCACATATGCAAGCGATGCCGGGGCCAAGTGCGTGAACCTTCGCGTAATACCGTGTAAGCCAATCCTTCGCATTGTCAGCATTGATCCCTCCCGTGAATCCAATAGCTCGACCTTTCTGCGGACTGCGATGGTCGTCAGGTGGGATTTCCGGCACGGCATCCGGTGTCTTCCCCGTCCCACCAGAGTTGTCGAAGAACGGGACGATGTTCTTTGCACACTGATTCTCTGATTTGGATGATGGGTTGTGCCAAGTTTGCAACACTCTTTGAAAGAATGGCCAGGAGTCCGCGGTGTCCTTTTGAATTGTTTTCTGAAAGATAGGAATGAGAAAGTTCGTGTCTGGATATTGCCTGGCTAGTTCGGAAATCTGGGCAGCAGCGCTTTCCTGGTCGATCTCATGGCCAGGCATCAGCAGCTTTTCTGGCACACCGCGGGCATTGATGTTGATCTGTACATGGCGTGCCTTATACTTTTCACAGAGACATTCAACCAATTGCACCGCGCTGTGATCCCTTTTCAGCAGTGAGCTGACATACGGGCACTTGTCGGTTTCGCAGAGGTGAAACGACAGCCACGTTCCAGCCGGCATGGCTGCAATCATGTCGTCAATCTCGTGCCATGCAGGATAGGTTGCGCCGTTCGGATAACGCCGCTTCTCCAGGGAGGACTCGAGCTTGTATCCTTCCTCCCGCAGCTCAGGAAAACCTTGGTATGCCAGTTGAAACGCGGCCACTGGAACTATCCGGCTGCCACGAGCCGGAGTGAGCACCCTGCACAAATGCTTCTTGTCCAACGTGATATCCAACCCACAAATGCCAAATTCAATGCATGGTGGGCTGCATTTGAGCAAGAACGCTTTAATCTCGCTGTGGCAACTGCGCTTCTCAGAGGACATCGCCCCTGCCTCGGAACACTTTCGGTGTGCCAGATCCAAGGCCGTGAAACCGTCGTTGTCCTCTTGGTCCAAGTCTGCCCCATTGGCCACAAGCGATCGTAGAACGCCGACTTCCGCAGCACGGTCCACTGCCACCATCAATGGAGACATTCCGCGGCCATCACTCTTCTTCAGTGCCATAGCCAGAGATTCGTGAGAGGGCAGAGGGTTCTGATCCTGTGTTGTCAAAAAACGGCGTAGCCAAGTCCAATTTTTGCGAACCATCGCGGTGTGAATCGGCCTCCGCACCCGGACAAAGTCGACCATCGCCATGGTGAAGAAGTGTACCTGCAGGAACCTCATCAGCCACATGTCCACGGTGCAACATGTTTCAGACAGCGGCACACATCCATGCACTAGTGCAGATCTTACACTTCTAGATGGTTTCGGCTGCGTATCTTGTGACCCTGCGTGGTCGAGGAAACCAGCGTTGAGGTGTTGCCGGAACTCTTATTATTGTCCAAGCAAGACGGACATGAGTGACACAGGCTTCCGCGACGGCCAACGGGGTGCAACGGGTCGCAACCGGTAAATTGTCAGAAAGCGGTACCCGAGTTGAGTAAATGCTGAGGCTGCAACTCCAGAGCGAGGACCTCCGCCGATTGGGCACGCCCGATCTTTCCGTCGCTCCAGGTCAGAACAACAGGCACACAGCCATGCAACAAGGCATCTGTGACACTTCGCAGCCAGGCATAAAACCAAGCGTCTCCCCAATCTGAAAGCCAAACAACTGCAAAATGCATGCCGTCCTCCAGGCAAATGCGGATCACGGTGTTGTAAAGCTCCGGATCTGCACCCGGAATTGACACGATGGCGATGCCTCTTCCGGCCAAACTGTCCCTCTCACTCCCTCGAAAAACCTTCCTTGGCTCTGCCCGAGATCCGAATCCGGCAGAAGCCACTGACATATGGCCTTGACCGCCAACACCAGCATCATTACTTGCCACAAGGCCCTGGCTCCAGTTCTTCAAGATTTCTGTGGCATGCTCCCCATCCCTCTTTGGGCACGTTTTCGCGATCATCCAGGCATGTGATTCCAATAGCCTTTTCAAGTAGTCCAGTGGAGTGTTGCCGTGATAAGGTGGACCATTGGCAGCTGGCGAACGCACGATCTTCAGGGTACTCCTGCGTGGAGGCTGCAAGTAGTCGCGAATGATGTCTGCAGAAACTGGCGAAGAGGGAGTGCATGCTTTCTTCACTCCTGGACGGTCATTCGTCAGTTGTGGTGGCAGCAACCCACCGCCAATGTCAGCTAACTCGAAGTACCTCTCAGCAATGGAGCCTGCAATGAAAACATTAGCATCATTAGCAGTCTGCTCCGTCCCAGCAGGCTTCACTGAGAATGTCAACTGCACAATGCCTGTCACCTCGTAGTCCGTGTCCGGGTACAAGACCTTTGTGTCCGAATCGCCAAGAACTAAGCTGCCATCAAACTGTGGATACACCTCTCCGCCCTTCGCTGGGTTGAAACTGCTTTTGGCAACCGTCTCGGCAAAGTCTCGGCACAAGTCGATCGAAAACTCGTCCTTTTTCTTGTCGCGGACGCCCGACTGGGCCTCAATAAATACATGCCTTCCTTGTGGTACGACCCATCGCATTTCATGAAGTTGCTGCAAGACATTTCCCGGACCAAGACCCCCGGCATATCCGACCACCCTGTCCTGATAACGCGATTCGGGGCATTTGTAGACGGTGGACTTCTCGCCTAATCCTCGCGAGGAGTTGTACAGCACCTGTATCTTTGCTGGCTTTGCTTCCCGAAGAAGGCGATCGAGAAGCCGTTCGCCCTGACGATTAGAGTAAGCGTTATCGCGTATGGAAAGCACGAAAACGAGCTCGAAATCGTTCATCAACTTAAGAAGCCCCTGTGCACAGCGATCCACTTCAGCATCCGTCCGCTCCTTGACCTTGGGACTGCTACTTAAGTGCGACCAGTCCAGCAAGACCTTCTGGAAGCCGCACTCCACAAGCCAGTTGAGAAAGCTCTGGCCGTCATCGTCGAGCAAGCAGGTGTCGAAGGGCTCCCCAAGCAGGTGTGCACAGAAGCGCGCTCTGGAGGAAGCCCCATCTTGTTTCAACGCCTGCAAAAAAGATTCAGGGTGTACAGAGTGTGGCTCAAGGACAAGCTTGAAGTTTCAAGCACAGCCACTATCACAGCTAAGATCCGCTAAGTTAACCCAGTTGTGACCCTCTGTCCATCGGGGACTTTGAGCAGGGTACCGCGTGTACAGTCCGGTAAAGGTTCTGCTAAGCACAACAAAAAGTAATGCTGGAAGCAGGATAAACCTGCACCCCCCCTCGCCGTGCAGCTCAAGCTGAGGCGGATAGCTTACACTGGCTCCAGGTTGCCTTGGGCAAAAACTGTGGTTAGAGTCCAAAGCGAGCTTTATAAAGCACAGCTGGGGAGCCCTGCACGTCCAAAGCAGAACATGATGGGAACCAAAACAAGCAGTGCTAATCAATCCTGACGGGAGCGGCTCCATGCATCCCCATCCGTCTTCGAATAGCGCTTGCCCCGGGAGCGGTACCACTCGTCCCATTGGGCTTGCGTATAGCCTCTGTACAGCGACACAGCCAGCGGGATGGAGGACCCGTGAGGGGTGGCTCGCGATTGCGGGCCGACACTGCGCGATTCTGCTCAAGGAGCCTTCCAGTTGCGGCAGCTTGGTGTTCAGCCTGTCGTTGACGATGTTCTTCACCTCCTCGGACATCTCCTCCACAGTTTCGCCATTGAGCCTGACTTCGCCATCGAAGGTGAGGATGCGACGGGCTTCAGGTGTGTGCAACAATGGCACCGAAGATCAAGCCTAACAGATTGCCGGTGAGCTCCTGTGGGTAAGCCAAAGGACTCGTCCAGATATAGCCTTTGCGTGTTCGTTGGTGGGATCGCTAGCTGCGAGAGCACCGCGCAGTGCTGTCGCCATTGGTGAAAAGTTCTGGCTTACCTACAGAGGACGTGGGGGAACAGCTTACTGTATGAAGGCCGAGGATCTACTTTGTCGTGCTTTGTGGACGCCTTATTTGCACCGGATGGACATCGTTCTCACACAGGGTGGTTGGTGCAACTTGGTGGAAATGTTATAGCCTGGCGATCATCTCGACAACCGTGCATCACTCTGAACACGGCGGAGTCCGAGCTGGAGGCAGCAACAGAAGGCGTAGTGGCGTAGTGGCCTTGCAAAGCATTCGAGGCATATTAGTGAGTGTTAGCGTGGGTTTCTTCGGGATGCAGTTGCAATCTGATAGTACCTCAACTATAGCCATCGCGCATGGTTCGTGCAGTTGGAGGACACTGAAGGCTGAAGAGCCTGTGGATTGGAGAGCTCATTCAAAAGGGGGTTGTTGAGTTCAGCCACTGTTGTGGAGATATTGGTGTGATTGAGGACCACGAGTCTGAGGGAGTTCATCGAGAAGCAAGCAACAGCAGTCCTCCCAGCAGCAGGACTGCAGCACACCCTAGCCTTATCCTTAAAGTTCTAATTGCTCTTCTTCTCTTGTCCCAAGCCACTACTGGAGATGCTGTCAGGGATGACCAGGTTGTGGTACACGGCAGTGGCGTTTCTGTAGGTTATGGGCTTGTGACTTGGATGTGTATTTGGCTTCTGGTGTTGGGATGCCTGGTCTTTTGGGAAGCACTGAAATGGATGGTCTGGCTGGTAGACGACAAGGCTACTCCTAGTGCCAAGGCAAGACGACGAAGAAGACGTCAGAAGCTGAGGGACGCAACAACGGATGCAATTCAGAAGGAGATTGAGCAAAGAAGAGGTGGAAGATTGGAGCCGAGAGCTCTGGATGCTTCCACCGTCCCGCATTTTCAGCGGAACCACCCTCCTCGAGATCCGCAAGCATCTGGGCAGGTTGATACGACAGCGGGGACTGCACATCGGCCGAGGCCTCAGGTTGAGGATCAGAGCGAGGAAAGGATGCAGCTAATAAGGAGACTGCAAGGGGTGTGAAAGAAACAGCTGATCAGGAGGTGCAAACACCTGTGAAACGCCTGGGCAATCTTTCTTCGTGCCCGACACGGAGAAGAGTGCAGCGTCGCAGGTTGTGTCAGTATGCCTCAACGGGGCAGCAGTGATCCGGACAAGACTCCTGAGTACGGCCGTGATCTAGCGCGCTGTCAAGAATACGAGCGAATGTTTAATACTACCCGATCCTCCTCAGGACAAAATTCAAACATGTTCCAGGGCTGATGCCAGTTCCAAGGAGGAGTGATGAAAGGGGTAGAGGGGCCTACATTCATGACTTCATGTCATTGTGTGTGTGCTTTTGGGCCGCGATGCTTTTGTCCTAGGGAATGCAAGGAAGATAGTCCCTTGGGTCAACCGAATAATGGAAAGCCGTAGATACATTTCAAGATAATCTTTCAAGCAGCATGCACTAGAAGGATCATCCTTGTTCAACTTCAGATCCTTAGCATGCCAGCAGATCGTGCAGCTTTGTGTGTTGTGGAAAGACCAATTCGACTCTGAGCGCTTGCCCATGGCATTCAGTTTGTCGCTGACTGTCTGTGAGCGGTGTTAGCGTTCGTTACTTATTCTTACCTCCCCCCTTTCCACTACCAGCACTTCCAGATCGACCTCGTTTTGGGGATCTCGGCGGTGTCGTTCCACGGGATGGATCAGCTTTCACCTGTTCGCATGGGCAGTTCTTACCTCTGGAAGGCAAAGCAAGGCTTGTTTTCTTCACGACCTCGCGGAGTATTCGGGGCCCTACGGTTTCCATCAGATGATGCGGGAGCTCCATACCTAACTAGCACCGTGAGAATTGGCAATCGCAGTGCGATTACGGCGTGTACGCTCCTTCGCCAAGAGTTCCTTAACACTTCACAAGGTACTCGTATGTGTGTTTTTCATCTCCTTCCTTAGCCGTGTCATAAACCTCCAAACTTGTTCGAAATCCAGAAGAAGAATGTGCCGGAGAATAGTTTCTTCCGGCTGGTGATTGCAGCCGGCAATGACAGACTCCCAATTGTGAATGAAGGTGCGAAGATCATCACCGTTGAGCTTCACTTTCCGCAGGTCTTCTACGCTGTAAAGAGATCCCGCTTCTTCGTTGATCTTAAAGTAGTGCTCGAACATGAGAAGGACCTGTCTGCCGCGGACAGCCCTCCCCCTAAGGACAGAACTCGCCGAGAAGAGGAATAGCCCAACGCAACTTGGAGCCCCGCTTGGTTCTGGTGTCGGCGATGTATTTGCAAGTGATTTGCAAGACCTTAGCCCGCCGCAAAGTGGTGCCATATCATCTGCTGCAGCGGTTCAGGATGCACAGGGGTCCACCAAGCCGTGGACACCGAAGCTTCCCGATCCCTACACGATTCCCAAGGAATTCGAGGGTATCTTGGCCAAGCCAGAAGCCACTAGTGATCTTCTTGCATCCGCACTCCGAGCTGCGATTACCAAAATCGGATGACGACAAGCCCAAGACCAAGGAAGCTGTGACAGTGAAGCCACCCAATTTCCCAAGTCCCGTGGCTGCAATTGAAGAAGTTGAAGCTTCTAAAGTTTGCCAGGCTGCATTGAAGGAGGTGGAGAGTGAATTGGAAGGGGGCCGTGCCCAAGTCGAGGAGATGGAGTCCGATGATCCTGGAGAGACTGGCGCCGAGCTCATGGAATTCAGTGGCGATGAAGAAGTGCCCCCTGACACCTTGTATCCGGACGCCTCGCCACTGGATGACGTGCCAGCCCAACTTCATCGAGAAAAGAGAAGCCAGCTCCCCCGGAAGAGATCGTGGAAGCACCCGTGACCGGAAAGCCGAGACTAGAGTACCGTTGGAAGGCCTTGGACCAGGAGTGGAGGGACAGCTTTGTGGGTCCGTTGAAGAAAGCATTGGATGTGTATGTGGACAACGAGACCTTGGAAGCAGTCCCTGAAGGCCTTCCCATCCCTCCCGAGAAGAATCTGCCCTCTCGTTTTGTGCTCACCAATAAGAGTGACAAGCCAGGCTCCAGGACGCCATTTTGAAGGCAAGGTGGGTGCTGGCGGGTCACTTGGACAAGGAGGCGGGACAGTATGCTACGGAAGCGCCGACGGCGAGTTTGACGGCGCACAATGTGGTTTGTTTCGTGAGCACAGATGGGATGGAAGATGAAGTACGCCGATATTTCTGCGGCGTTCTTGCAGGGAGAGAAGTTGCAGGAGGAGCGTGTCGTATACATCCGCCTGCCTCGGGGCTATCCGGAAGAAGTACAACGACATCTGCTGCAACGACTGCGTGAAGGACGACCGGGTACCACCAACCTCCACATGGATATTGTCCGCATGGTGAAGGGAGGATTTGGGCTCGCAGAGTCACCTCGGCTCTGGTACTTGAGGCTGCGTCGTGGCCTGCTGGAGATTGGGATGTCCGAGCTCAAGCTGTCCCCCGGGACCTTCATTCTACACGTCAATGGCACCCTGGCCGGCATCCTGGCAATCCACGTCGGCGACCTGAGGATGACCTTCCACCCCGAGGCTGAGTATGTCTTGGAACCTCTGCGCGAGACCTTCCAGTTCGGTGAGTGGCAGGAGGCAACAGGGGTCACCAAGTTTTGCGGACGGTGGGAAGTGCAGTGCCCCACCACCTTCAAGATCGGGGTGACGATGGATGGCTATGTTCCCAAGCTGAAAGAGGCTCCTCTGCGCAAGGAGGAGGACAAGTCGCCGATGACGGATGCCGAAAAGAAGTGGGTCTCTTCGGTTGGGGGCCAGCTGAACTGGATGGCGCGACAGGGACGCGCCGATTTGGCGTTCGGCATCTCCAAAGTGCAGCAGATGGCTGGTGCCCGTGACCCAGGCACCCCCGGTTCCTCAACCAGTTGGTCCGCAAGGCCCGCGAGCCCTATGAGATGGTGTTCCAGAAGCTCCCCGGCACCATGGAAGACCTCGTGATTTTAGCGGTGAGTGATGCCTCTCATGGAAGCATGCCCAAGGGCAAGTCGCAGGGGGGCATGATGATCCTGATCGCCAATGCCGAGATCCTGGAAGGCGAGGGCCTAGTAAACTGCGTCCTGTACCACAGCTCCGTCCTCAAGCGAGTGATGAGGTCGAGTTTAACGGCGGAGATTTCCCAGGCGGCCGAGACCCTTGACCAGTGTGAGTACGTGAGGGCGATGTTGGCTGAGATCTGGGATAGCCAGTTTGTGCTCAGCGAGTGGCGCTGGAGCGTCAGCCGATGGCCCGAAGTGTTGGTGCTCGACACAAAGACTGGGTGCGACGTGCTCAACGGCATCAATAACGGCGATGACAAGCGGCTGGCGATTGATATCGCCATCCTGAAGGAGACCTTGTACGAGCCCCAAAGCAACTGCTGGCTCAGGTGGGTCCCCGGGCTTACGATGCCTTCGGACGGCCTTATACCAAGGAGTACGGCAATCCTGTCCGCGACCACAAGTGATGCGAGGCGGACCCTGGAGCCTGAAGGACACGGCGGAAGCGCAAAGACTTCGTGAAGAGGCCGGGCATCGAAAGCGGCAGTGCAAGGAGCGGCTACGTGAAAGACAGCAAGCAATCGAGGAGGTTCGCCAAAAGCGGTGATCCCTCCCAGTCTGCATCTCCAATGGGGGTTGGTGTGGAAAGCAGCAACCCCCTCGCTAGGACAGATGCAGACGACCGCTGAATCATGGGCTCGCAGCACTGCGGTGGTAGAAAAGCCCTGCGAGGGTCTTGTGAGTTTTGTTGCGTTGGAACTTTCCTGTCTTATGGATCTCATTTACACTGAGGCCAACATATTGAAGCACACGCAGATGCTGAACATTCCAGAAGACTTGCATTTGTTCAGCAAGGGACCAACGTGCTTATCACTCAGTTGAACTCCGAGATGTCTGCCTACAAAGCCGAATCAGAAGCGTTTCAGAGCAGACTGCTACACAGCGAGGTTGAATGCCACGAGGAACGGCAAGCAGCTCAGCAATTCACTTCCCAAGGCACGGCACTCACCACACGAGCACTCCGCTTTGAGACAGCATTGAAGCACAGCGAACAGCTCCGCACATTGTGCGAAGAAAATCGATCGACTCTTTTGGAGTACTTGGCAAAGAGGTTTGAGGAAAAGCTGCAGTGGGAAGAGAATGATAGTCTTCAGAAGTTGAAGGTTGAGGAAATGCAGCATGATGATTTGGTCACAGATCTAATCTGTTTCCCGGAAGGCTTCCAAAGTTGCCGACTTTGCATAGACTTCCTGAGTCCACTTAACAGCTTCATCCGGCTTGTCTGATGCGGCCCTTACCCCCTCGCGCACTGCAATCTTCCATGATCTGTAAGTCTGGCGCACATACTCAAGCGGGATGCCCTTCAGCTTGTTCCTATATCTAACCCAAACTCTCCTTATATGGCTGCCCCATTACGCTCAATGGCCGTCACCACCGCCGGTCCTGTCCATGCCACTTGGTCCTGTAGCCTTTTGGGCAGCCCTTTGCGCGAAGCCGGCGGGTCATAGAAGTAAACGGTGGCGCCCTCAAACAACATCTCCATACGCGGGTGTCGCGACTTGGCATTCAAGGCCTTCCTCAAGGTCTCACTGCCATCCATCCACACATTTGTAGGGTTTGCAAAGCAAATGG